GTGTTTGGCTGCAAGTATAAAATTTACGTTGTTCCTCCACCGAGAATGTTTAGTTTGATACTGATATTCCTTAGCAGTTATTATAAACTAACTTCAACGGTTCACTGTATAACGTTGTAGCTTTGACCTGTGACTAAAAGTTAAGCAGAAAAGCGAGACTTAAATTTACTCTAAGTAAAACGAACCTTTGAAACTGTGCGTCTATTTGTTGACTATTCGCTTAATAATAAAGCCGTAGAAAGATACCACAACATTGTGTTTTAGTTCTATTGAAGATATTTTAAACAGAAATGTGAAGAATTAAATTTTACCTTGGAGGTGCTGTTATCTTATGTCGTCTGTGTTCGACTGCATTAGGTAACTTGTGAGCCATTCGGTGGGATTCCAATTCCTAGTCTTTCCTCCACAATTTTTTAGTCTGCACTAGAATCATGGAGGATAGTACTACTGTGGCATGCATCTTTTGAAAATTGTTGGATTTTGAAGTTAATGGGTTTTTCATTGTTTGGCAGCAAGTATAAAGTTTACGTGGTTCCTTCACTGAGAATGTTTAGTTTAATATTGATTTTCTTTAGCAGTTTTTATGAATTAAAATTTAACAGTTGAATGTAGAACGTTGCAGCTGATCTGCGGCTAAAAGTTATACGAAAGCAGGAGACCTAATTCACTCTATGTAGAAAGGCGAACTTTTGAAATTAGGCATTTATTTTGTCATCTATTTTAATTTTGAAGCCATAGTGAAATACCACAGCATTGTGTTCCCAGTTTTTTAAAAGACATTTTCAAACGGAAATGTAAAAGATTAAACTTTACCTGGGAGTTGCTGCGATGTATGTCATCTGTGTTTGGCCGCACTAAGGCTGTTTATTGGAGTTCCAATTTTCACGCTTCCTTAATTTTACGGTCTCTAAGAGAATCCTGGGCATCAGTATTTCCATGATATGGGCTTCAAGCTCTTCATTGTTCACTGAACCTTTTGTTTTTCTGACGTAGTCTTGGTTTTATTCTTTCATATTCCCAGATCATTTTGTGTGGTAGGTTCCATATATTTTGCTCTTTGGATTTTGTAATTCCGTCCCCTGTCTTTTCCTCTCTAAACTGAGAATTAATTTTGATGAGGTGGAACGCCTTTCGAAATTATTACATCTTAAGTTTATATCTTTGAGTCATTCGTTGGATGCGGAGAACTGTTTTGATTTCCTGTTTTTAGGTTCTGGTTCGGTGGGGATGGATATTTCTTTCGTTGGATTTAAATATGTTTATGGCTTACCGGAACATGGCGATAGTTTTGTTTTAAGAAGTACATTGTAAGTTTTTGAAGCAAGTGCAAGGCAGCATTTTTTTTAGTGATTGTGGTGACTCTGAAAAGCAGAAAGACTGCTTTTTCTTTTTTACAAGTCATATCTGCAGTATTATTCATTTAAGAGCTATGGATCCGTATAGACTTTTTAATTTGGATGTATTCGAGTACGAGCTTAATTCGCAAATGTCGCTTTACGGAGCAATACCTTTTGTAATGGGACATAGCAAGGACCGTTCTGTTGCTGTGCTCTGGCTAAATGCTGCTGAAACTTGGGTTGATATTAATTCGCCTTTAGATTCGAAAGTTAGTTTTTCACTCCAGTCACTGAAAACAGCTCTGCATCTCTATTTTTACTACGAGGATGTGTTATATTATAATTTCGTTTAGGGTATTTTTGAATCTTTGGCGGACAAACTAAAAATTATCACTGATACTCCGGAAGTCACTACCCACTTCATGTCTGAAACAGGATTAATTGATGTGTTTATAATGTTAGGTCCAAAACC